TCCACTACACTCACCTACCTAAACCTTTCCCCCATCCGGGTCATGGCACCAACATAACTGGTCCTACTCTCTCCGCTCCAAGGTGTATTCGAATCAGCATCACCTGGCATGGGAGGCGGGTGCACTAACAAGGATGTTAAAAACCACTGCATCAGGTTCTAGTGCTCCTCTTTAGGCCCCAAATGTGAGATTTACCTGCACAGGTCTTGTTTGGCCTCTATTACAATCACCCTCTTAAACCTCACTTCCATTCACATCACAACACCAATGTAACTGGACCTACTCTCATCACTCCAAGCAGGATTTAAACCAATGTCAACTGGCATTGGAGGCTGGTGCACTAACAAGGATGTTAAAGGCCACAGCATCAGTTTCTAGTGCGCCTCTTGAGGTCCTGAGAGTAAGGTTTACCTGCAAAGGTCTCATCTGGCCTCTATTACACTCACCCACCTAAACTTTCCCCCATTCGGGTCACGGCACCAATGTAACTGATCCTACTCTCTCAGCTTCAAGGGGTATTTAGAATCAGCATAATCTGGCATAGGAGGTGGGTGTGGCTAACAAAGACATTAAAAACCAGTGAATCAGGTTCAGAATGCTGACATCTTGGGGTGTAATCACACTAGGCACAGTTGCCTTGAACCGAGCCAGAGCACAATTTTCCCCCTCCCCACTCCCCCGCTGGTTTACACTCACATTGCACTTTATGTTCCGGGCTGGAGCACATTTTATGCTGCCTTCAAGTCCTATCAGAATTATCGTAAATATGAGTTTCCTAATCAGTAATCCTAATCCTAATCAATGGACATGAACTGCTGTCAATGCTATTCTTTATTTGGGTTTTTTCCTAACAACAACTATCACCTTGTCTTGTCGTTTAAGTAGTGCCTATTTATATATATGAACAATCAAGCATATTGTATGTAGGGGTGGGAATCTTTAGGCACTTCACGATCCGATCCGATTCCGATTTACATCAATTTCGTATAAAAGTATTCGGAGATGCAAGTGCATTTATCCGCAGCTGCGATCGAGCTTCAGGACATCAAACACAAAGCACACGTGAAAGTCTGTCAGTACATGAGTTTCGTGCATCTTATACGTACTGCATTCCAAACGGCATAAATGAAAGCATATCTAAAGTAAAATACTGAAATAACGGCGGGTGGAAGCACACACTGTCAAGCAATGCGCACGTGTCTCACAGCGCATATTCTGTGCAATCAAGCCCCTGGTAAGCGCGTCGCGATTGACTCTAGCGCACACACATGCCATATGCGGGGAAAAAACATACTCAGAATCGATTCTGAAATGTTCAGAATTGTTGAAGAGAGAATTGCGATGCATCGGAGAATCAATTTTTTCTCCCACCCCTAATTGTATGTATTATAAAGAGTGAAATAAGCATGTATTCGACCGAAATTCCAAAAATGTCAGCAACTGACTATCTAGCGCATTAAATATTTATGGTTATCAATGAAATATTGCATTTTATTCTTTTCAACAACAAATCACTTAAATGCAACAAGCTCGAAGTGGGGAATAGGAAGTTTCCAATAGCATGTGAAGGCAGCATAAGTTATTATGAATTATGATGCGACTGTTTTGAAGTAACCAAGCGCTCTCGCTCATATTGTTAACTTTGTGGTTTATTATTTTGAGTCGTTTGGGACATGATGACTCACGGCCCTCTCACAATATATTGCTTAACAGATCTATCGCTTTTGCCGCTCAGAAATGTTCACGCAATCATGCTGCACTTATCAGAAGTGCCGTGTTTGGGTGCAGTTAGCGCTCACATTACATGCGTACTGAGCCCAACTGAACCGTGCTCAGGCCCACCTCTTCTAACTGTGCCAGGGACGGCTAAACGAACCATGCCCGAGCACGGCACGGAGCGATCACACTAATCAAACGAACCGGGCTTTGGGGGTCAAACGCTCTCGGGCACGGTTAAGATCGCCTAGTGTGAGTACACCCTTAATTGACCCTTCGCAAAAACCTGCCCTCCTTAGTTACTGTTGCTACGTCCAACAAGCCATGGCGCTCTCACGCCACACATCATGTTCTCACGTAGCGAAAAATGCATTGCAGAGCAAAAAGGAAACGGACAACACACCGACAAACAAGATAGAGCAGGTTCCTTTTGGTATGAAACAAAGTGTCAGCTTTCAAATTTTGTATTTTAAAAAAAAATTCAAACAATAAATACAGTTTTGTGGCTCTTCAATGTGTCGTGACAGATCGCTGTAGCGCCTCAGTTCAAGAAGCACGTGAACCGATCATCTCTTCCTCTTTTCTAGTTATTGCTTGAAATAAACATGAATGAACATGAAGTAGGGCTGAACGATTTTGGAAAAAAATCTAATTGCGATTTTTTTTTACCAATATTGCGATTTAATATGCAATTATTTTAAAGCTCTTTATGTTCTCTTAAGGTCAAAGTCTTCAGTAATGAAATGCACTGTAATACTGTTACTGCTTGAGTAATTTCCATGTGCCGTTTTGAAGTACGTTCATATATACGCTTTCAAACATTTCCGCGTGTAGTAGTGATGCGCAGATGAGCTAAAACGTCACCCGAATCAGCAGCTTCAAATAAATTATCCACCCCCAACTGCCCGCACCTATATTTTTCTCTGATTTAAATAACCGCACCCGACCCACACCCGATCGTCACATTCAGGGTTCGTACGGTCATGAAAAACCGTCAAA